TTATTACCAAAAAAGCATAACGTCGCAAATAATGAAGTGCAATAAACGAAGACGCTCATTAATTTTTGCGTGTGTTGGAAATATATTTGTAGTTATGCTTTATTTGTATTTGAAGCGACAGAAAAAATTTAGTGGTCGGCGCTGGTGGGTGCACCCTTTAACTCTGGACCGTGGGCAACTGGGAGCGTATGTGACTGTTTTTTTGAAATACAAACATACAGATCAAGAGAAATTCTTCCGATTAACGCGACTCACAGTAGAACAATTTGAAGAATTATTAACAATAATCCGAGATGATATTCAAAAACGAAGCTATAGAGAGTTTTTAACACCGGAATTTCGCCTTGCCCTCACACTCTGGTATGTTATTTTCCATTTGTGGTTTTTATTGCTTTGCTTTTATTTTATTATTAAATATAGGTACTGGATAGTAATATAAGTATTATAAGTATATTGGTTTTTAGTTACTTAGCATCTGGCAATAGCATTGTCAGTTTGTCGAACTACTGGAAAATAGGCAAATCTACTGCATATGGGGTGATTAAAGAAACATGTGAGGCTATATGGAAGCGATTGAAGAGTAGTCATTTAGCACCACCTTCTACACAAGAATGGAAACTCATAGCAGATGGGTACTGGTCAAGATGGAATTTACCAAATTGTTGTGGGGCTTTAGATGGAAAACATATCAGGTTACAATGTCCATCAAAAAGTGGCTCCCAATTCTTCAATTATAAGCAATTTTTTAGTTTCGTGTTAATGGCACTGTGTGACAGCAAATATTGCTTTACATGGGTAGAAGTAGGAGATTATGGTACGTTGTAATATAATAGAATAATGACTTCATTTTGTTCATTCCATTATTATTTATTAATATAACTCCAATACTTGTCCAGGATCTCTTCCAGACAGCAGTATTTTTACTTCTTCTGCATTGGGTAAAGCCATGGAAGAAGGATCTCTCAATTTTCCAGATCCGAAACAACTGCCTGGTACTAATGTATTGGTTCCCTATTATTTTGTCGGCGATGAAGCATTCCCATTACGTACCGACTTAATGAGACCATATCCAAGAAGGAATCTCACAAGCGAGGCAAATAGAATTTTTAATTACAGGCTTTCTCGTGCAAGACTTACAATTGAGAATGCTTTCGGAATTTTGGCATCAAGGTATTTCCTTTTAAACATTATTATAGTGACAATGAACTTCTATATAAAGATGAGCAAGTTAAACATTTATTTTTCATTCTAATTCTAATAGGTGGCGAGTTTTGCGTACCGCTTTGGCTCATCAACCTAGCAATGTAGAAAGTATTATTCTTGCCACGGTGTGTCTCCATAATTTTATCATAAATAGGGAAGAACACTTGCAGGGGTTCAAACAGTACTGCCCACC